TCTTCATGTAGTCAAGCTACTTAGAAGTGTTTTTGGAGTCAATTTGGATGTTTGCGAGGGGGTTAATGCTTTGCTGTCGGCAGAACGGTAGCTATTGGGATTCAAAGGGATGTTTTCTTTATTGACAGCGGGTGCAGACAACGAATTCAGTGAGAAACAGCAGAAAGCTACCTGGTTGAGGCGCAGGTGGGATATAATGGCACATTGCTCTAGGTAGTGAGTGACGGGAAGGGGTTGTCGACGTCTTCAAGTGAGGAATATATATCTAGGGGACGTGGATCTTACCCCGGCTCACAAGGAACAAAAGCATTGTCTGATTTCCGTTGTATAACACTGAAGACTGAATATTGCTGCCCTCCTTGTATCCAGAAACACTAGGGAAGCAACAAAGTCGCTCAGTATGAGACGTAGCCTTGAGACATGCATCTCAATGGGACAAGCACATTTGTTGCAAAGAAGCTGCAGAGGGCCACTAAGAAGATCCCGCGGGGATCACGGTGATCCCCACAGGGTCTGTTCTATGCAATATCTATGACCCCAGTGACTAGTAATATGCATGATGAAGGCAAATGTGGCCAATCTGCAGCTGTGACTGGACCATATCGGTACAAGCCTGATGGAAGGTGTTCTTTATTCGAATGCAGACGAAGAGCTGTCACGCTTTATCTCGACTTATTGCATGTTCTATCTTCATCAGATACATCACTCTTTGTCTAGGAAGTCCATATATTGTGCTAGATTCCACTGTCTAATCCGGAAAAGGGAACCTTGTTCTTTGTAGCTTTAAATGGTCTTGTTCATAATACTTGTAAGGGAACCTGGACAGCAAAATTGAGTGAGCTTCACAGGTCTGAAGCTCGTGACCAAACGCGTGTTGTTGTTGCTCCCAGCTGAGATTCCTGTCACTTCCCAAAAAATCGTCTTCCTTTTCTTCCTCCTCGCTCCTTTCTCTCCCTCTTCGCTTTCTTTCTTTCCCATCTCCCCTCCCTACACGTCCTTTGCTCTATCAGTATTCTGTATTACACTCCACGCGAGGTATCCTTGCGCAATCTCATTCTTTCTCGTCTTGATAGATCACTCTTTTACTCTTTCACGATGACTTCTCTGGGTCTCCAGTTCTTTACCACCCGCACCAGCGGCACTCTGACTCCCCTGGTCGCTGTTGATGAGCTTCCAGCTCACGTCTCCATTCGTGGTGTCCCTCGCACTTTGAACGCGAGCGAGACCCAAGGCATGACCAGCTGCGGCCTGGCTGTCCAGCGTACTGAGCCTTGGACTATTGATGGCCTCTCTACTGCTCTCCCTGTTGTCAAAAACAAAGAGGCACTCGCTGAGCTGAAGGACCTTTTGACCGAAATTGTGAATGACGAGTCTGTCTCTGCTACTCTTCGTCTGTCTGTTCAGGCTGTTTTGTACAAAGGTCTTGCTGAGGTCGAGAGTACTCTTACTCCCTCCAGCACCACGATGTCTCCCCTTGCACCGGCTTTCCAAGCCAACAACGCCCAGCCTGCCAGAAACAATGTACGTTAGATTTCACATCTGATACGTCATGGTTCACATTGCTGACATTTCTCACACAGGTCCTTCATCCCAAGAAGGAATACTGCTCGTACTGGATCCGTCACGGCGAATGCGACTACTCTCAGCAGGGTACATCATATGACAACAAGGTCTCTAAAAAAAAATGACTAACACTTCAAAACACAGGCTGCCTCTACAAGCATGAGATGCCCCTTGACTCTGACCTGCTGGACAAGCTAGGCTTGCGTGATATTCCCCGCTGGTACCGCGACAAGTTTGGGGTTGAAAGCTTGATTCACCCTGTACAGCAGCAACGTGCTACTCCCCGGCTGGCTATCACTGAGCACCCTCAGCCTGCCTCCACAGCTATTCAGTACTCTAGCTCTACCAGCCTCGAGCTCAAGAGTTCGGCTCCCCAGACCAAGCAGCGTTCTCCTGCTCGCGGCCCTCAGAACCATGGTAACAACGGCGGCCCTTCCCACTCCCGTGGATCTCGCAATCAGGGATGGAAAGCCCGTCAGGCTAAGGGCAAGAACGTCAACCCGTCTCCCGTCAACAACGAGCCCAACGCAAGCTTCCAGTCTTTTGGCTACGAGGGCGTCTCCGCTCCTGACAACCTCGCTACCTTCGCTGGATACGCTGGTTTTGCCCAGGGCCGCGCTTTTGGAAATGCAATGGCCCCCATTACCGCCCCTGCTCCATTTGCCATGCCCGCTCTTATCAATACCAGCCCCAATCTTATGGACACCGGTAGCTCCCACTGTATCCCGACTGTGAATGCCGATAACCTGACTGTGGATGCAGACCCCTTTGAGCATGGATTCGCTGAGTCCTCTACCGCTGTGGACAAGACTCACCTGAAGTCCAAGACCCGCCGTCTGTATGAGACCCACAAGTCGAACAACAACTCCTCCATCGACGGTGGTGTGAAGCTTCCTTCTGACCTGTTCCACGAATATGGCGCGTTCTCTGCTCTTGCCACCTTGGACGACAATGCCAACAAGTCGGGCCGCGGTACCGATGAATCGTCCATGAGCAACCAGGCTACCCGAGCCTCTTCCAAGTCTCCTCTGAGTGACATCGTCTCTGAGAGCGACCCGCTTGAGGAGAATGACGTTCGCGACGCTTGGGGCCCTGTTGGAAGCCCTGTTAACCAGTCCCCTGGTCATGTTCCTGTCAGTCAGTCCACTGGTCGTAACCCCGATATTCACCAGCATCAGCGCACTGCCACCGCCATCCGCGGATTCCCTAACCCCTTCAACATCTCGCACACCCACTGAATGATTTTGCCGCTGCTTTCACACGGAAGACGACTTACAGCCGTTCGACCATGTGTAGCAGCATTGTTGTCCACGGGCGTACATATCATATCATCTGGTCCAACGAACTGCTTGCTTTGTTCGTGGTCTGTCAAGTCAAGATACCTATGGCTCATTGAACTGCATTCTTTGTTCCTGTGCCTGGCAAGCCATGATATTTTTTTATTGCCAGCGACATGATTTGGCTTATTTTTCTATCAAGCAAGACTGGACAACATAGCATTAGATATTCTTGACTATCTGATGTGACAAGTGACTGATGACGGGATGTTATTTTCTTTATTGAGCAATTTCTTTTTGTATTCTGATTGGGCTGCCTGGTACCCAAATCTGCGTTTGTTTTTTTGTGACATCTGGTTCCTGGTTCTTTTCAATTTTTCACTGGTGCACTAATGGGATGAAGCTCGCCATGAGTTTATGGAGGAGCTTGTGCCCTGGCCCCTGAGAAATATCCTAATGAAACACCTCCACACTTTCGATCGTTCTCGTTTGTAGAATCGTTCCTACGCTGTTGTAACAAAGTAACTGTAATCTTTCATGGAGAGCAGTGACAGGGTAGATAGGCAAGCTACGATATACCGGTATAACACTGTCAGCGAGTCGCCAATGCATGGAATAAAATGACTATAGTACATTTGAAGAAATAATAGATGCCAAAGATCCTAAAATATGCGCCCGCGCCTCGCAAATGTCTGACAACAGCTTTTCAAGCACACCCAATATACAGTCTACAAACGTCTCTCACCGGCGGCCGATCTTTTTGCGGGCACCAACCTTGACAGCCACGCGCTCCCGCTCGTCAGCAGCCTTGGCCTGAAGCGCGGGGTTAAGGGAAGGCAGGACCTTGATAGCGTCCGAGATGACATTGTTACCATCCACCGGAGCCTCACGCGTCTCCTCGGCGGCAAGACGCTCCCTGCGGCGAGCGGCGAGCTGTTCCCGACGGGTCTCGGTCATATTCCAGGACTCAGGGAATTGAAGGCGGACCTTGGGCTTGTGGTGACGGAGGTCGAGGGGGATATCGGCGAAGGAGTCGCCTTCCTTGGCCTCCTTGATCAGGGAGTTGACCAGGTCGGCTAGGTAGCGCTTATTCTGGGCGCGCGAGCCGTACTTCTCACTGGACATGCGCACAATGTCGGTTTGCGGGTTGTAGCGCGTACCGGCCAGCTTGAGGAATGTTTGGCGCTGGGCTTCGGTGAGGTACTTGGGGGTCAGATCTTGGGAGGCGAGTTCCAGGACGACCTTAGGCTCGGCGGGGTGCTGTTCACCCATGTAGGTGGTGTAGCGGAATCGGAGAATGTGGTTGGCGGGAGGCAGGGAGAAGGGTTTGGCGAGCTCTGTAGTTTAAGGTTAGCGATGGAAAGGGATGATTGTCCGGAGTAATTAATCTTACTGCTCAGCATTGGCATGTCCCACGCTGTAATGCGGGCGTACTCTCGCATCTCCCGGTGCAGCTCCATTTCTGTGTGTGCCATGGATGTGATTTCATCATCGTTGACCTCCTCGTCACCATCCTCGACCTGAGCCATTTCATCGGGATCGTCCTCGGCCCAGAATCCAGGCGTCCGGGGACGGATGTCTTCAAATCGCAAATCCTCTGCCTTGTCAATCTGTTGCAACTCTTTCTCAATCAGCGCGAAGGCTGCGATTCGCTTCGCAGGGTCGTTGAACTCGGCAACCATGCGGGTGTTCTCCGCATCGAAATCGGCGCGCTCCTCGGGCGACATCAAATCATACATAGATCGGAGCTCCTTTGTCATGAGATCTGGCGAGTACTCGGGCACTGGCGGGAACTCTTCCAGTGTGAGTTCCTTTGGTGGTGGAGGCGCCACGGGGTCTTCCTGGGCGCGCTTGAACGGAGAAACTGAAAAGTACCGGACTGAGGGAGCAACCAGGGCCCTTCGGGTCATAAGCCGGGCTGGCTGAGCCATTGACCTGATTGAAGCCATTGTTGCGGGGATACGTGGGTAAAAGTCCTGTCGACGTCTGTTTTTTGCGAGGTTCGGCGGCTCTGGATACGCTATCCCAAACTAGGCTAGCGTGGATAACTTCACGTGATTCCATACTGACATCGATGCTCTTCGATGCGACTTCTTCTTCTTTCCTATAAAGCATGCTTGCTGATTGCATGACTCGGTACATTCCTATCAAACCGCCAGCATGAAGCTGTGTTTCGTTACCGTGGGCGCTACGGCTTCGTTTGAGAAGCTAATCCAGCAAGTGCTTTCTCCGCAATTCCTGGAGACCTTGGCCAAACGCCAGTACACCCATCTTCTCATTCAGTACGGCAAAGGTGGCAGTCAAACATTCGAAATCTTCGCAAATGGCGAGCAATCGCATCATGGCCTCATCATCGGTGGCTTTGACTCCAAGCCAAGCATCGATAGGGAATTGATGAAGACCAAGAAACGGGATGATCAGGAGCTCGGTCTAATCATCAGTCACGCCGGTATGGTTTGCCATTTTTATGCGGATTGGCTTTCAGGTTTGAATGTTTCATCAGACAACTTACTTCGTGATAGGCACTGGAACTATTCTTGCAGCCCTGCGCTTGGGCGTGCCCTTGATCGTTGTTCCGAACCCGGACCTTGCTGATAACCACCAGCAAGAGCTTGCTCAAATTCTGAATGAGCAGAAATATGTGGTCAGCAGCTCTGTCCAGTAAGCTACCTAGATGTTTGGATTTGACTAGTCTGACTAACTATGAATTAGGGAAATTGGAACTGCCATTGCCCGTGCCGAGCTTCAGAAATCTGAGGTATTTGATTCACATCCTGAAAGAAAGGATGAACTCGCAGGTTTCATGTCTGACGAACTGGGTTTTCTGGATTAAGAGTTTCCTTGTGCAGGCTCTTTTGGCCTAATTTGCGATATGTCTGTATCGCCTATGATTGCGTTTCTTGCACGGCGTTGTGGTTTTTATGATTTACGATTGGTATTTGCATAGGAACTTGGGCGTTTTGACACGGCAATACAGCAATTGATTCAAATCTATCTATTGGCCTGGCTCGATAATGTTAGGGAGGATGATATTGGTTCTACTGAAGCAGAACTTTCAAATCCTCAAACAGCGTGAAATTGAAAAAGACCAAAGGATTTGAGGTTACCTTTAATATTAAACAGTCATCTTGAATCCTCGATATCTACTGTTTAGAGCATAAGTGATAGTGGCCGTAGTATGGCCAGGTGGCCCAAGCTCCTTGTTGACTCCCGACGCGAAGCCGCAAAACCTCCCTGAATCAGAAACACGAACTACGCCGCCCAACCACCAACCGCATCAAAGCCGCTTAACCCCAAAACTCCACTCCACTGACCCCCGAGTCATCCATACTAGGCCGAAAGGCCGTCCAGCTTGCGCCTCCTTTCCCGACCTCACCCCATACACTCCCCGCAATGGCAGAGGCCACCCTCCACAACGTGCCAATTGTCATCGACAATGGCAGCGGCACAATCCGAGCAGGATTCGCAGGCGAAGAAATCCCCTCATGTTACTTTCCCTCATTCGTCGGCCGGCCCAAACACCCACGGGTGATGGCCGGTGGTCTGGAAGGAGACTCGTTCATCGGTTCACGCGCACAAGAACTCCGCGGCCTCTTGAAGATCCGGTATCCACTGGAACACGGCATTGTCACAAATTGGGAGGACATGGAATCTATCTGGCACTACGTCTACGAGAACGAACTCAAGACCCTCCCCGAAGAACACCCAGTCCTCCTCACGGAGCCGCCGCTGAACCCACGCGCCAACCGTGATATCGCTGCCCAGCTGATGTTTGAGGCTTTTAATGTGCCGGCCTTGTATATGTCTATTCAGGCTGTATTGTCGCTCTACGCGTCCGGTCGTACCACCGGTGTGGTTTTGGACTCTGGAGATGGTGTTTCCCATGCCGTTCCTGTCTTCGAGGGTTTCGCTATCCCAAACAGTATTCGGAGAATTGATGTCGCTGGTCGTGATGTTACAGAACAGATGCAGTTGCTGCTGCGAAAGGCTGGTCATGTCTTGCACACTAGTGCCGAGAAGGAGGTTGTACGCATGATCAAGGAGAAGGTCTGCTATGTGTCGTTGGACCCGAAGCGGGAAGAGAAGGAGTGGATGAACAGCTACCACAAGTCCGATGCGAAGGCAGTCGACTATACTCTGCCGGATGGACACAAGATCAAGGTGAGTGCTTGCGCCAGATCATTCGCCCTAGGGGGTTCGTGACAATGCTAATGGATTGCCTATAGATCGGCCAAGAACGCTATCGCGCACCCGAAATCCTGTTCGACCCTGAACTTATTGGTCTTGAGTATCCCGGTGTGCACCAGATTGTCCAGGACGCCATCACTCGCACAGATCTCGACCTGCGCAAGTCGCTATACCTCAACATTGTTCTTTCTGGTGGTTCAACATTGTGCAAGAACTTCCCTGATCGATTGATGCGTGAGATCAAGAGATTGGCAGTTGAAGACATGAAGATCCGGATCTCCGCGCCAGCAGAGCGCAAGTATACCACGTGGATTGGTGGTAGCATTCTTGCCGGGCTAAGCACGTTTAGAAAGGTATGTTGATCCCCCCTAGATCAGTCTGTCAGACTAACCTGATTCTCGTAGATGTGGGTCAGCGCAGACGAATGGCACGAGGACCCCGAAGTCATCTTCAAGCGATTCGCATAAAAGATCAGTCCCGACAAAGGTCCTCAATACCACGGTCACGCTCATTATTCGGTCAGCCAGACCGGCTATCTTGACGTGGTCAAAGGTCCATCTCCAAATCTCGAAACAAGCATTCCTCCACGATACAGCGAAATCCTGTCAACACCTTGTCAATATGATTCGATCACCATGCATTGCAATTGGCAATTGGCAGTGCATGCAAGAAGTGACCGACCAATACACCAATCCGAGTCCCGTCTCCGCGTGACTTTTGATACCCCCAGTTTCCATTTACCTCTCCAGTTCATGCCGTCTTGGCATTGGTTCTGACTTTATCTGTGCAAATTCAAACTCTTCTTCTTAGGATGGCCTGCTTGACGGGATTGTAAATGATGCGCTGTATAGAGCATATCGTCTATCAGACTTGAACTTGTAGGGCATGTTGTATTGCATGTAGCCACAACCAAGATACATATCAACTGGAAATTCATTTTCGCTCAGATTTCCCGTACGTCAGTAGCTTACCATATTTCCTCTGCCTGGTGAGGCTTCCCTAAGAGAGTTCGGGATGGCGATGTGATCTGTGCACAATTGGACTTGATTTCCAGGATTGCGATGTCTTCTTCTTTGTTTTAAACAACACTTTAGCCTCGGAGTTGGCTATGTGCCATGATACACGGCGTAGATAGCCGGTTGTCACCCAAACATCCTTGTAGGGGTTGACCTATTGTGATTCAATGACCTCTAGGTTGTCGGCAGTGATACGACGACGGCTCCTAGGTGGCCCTCGCGTCCAGAAGCATCCGAGTATACCACGATAGCGGACGTGGACCGTATGGTCTCGGCCTGTTCTCTTGCCGTCTCTCGGTCTGACCTGATCTCAATCTTCGCGAAGGGCTCGACTCGCTACGATAGTGGCGGTCGTGGGTCGATCGTCTCTAGCTTATCTAGTCTTTCTAAGTTTATAGTGTTTGGGGCATTTGCTAGTAGAAAACGAGTGTACGATCCGATATTGTTCCTACGTCTCTAGGCTCGCAATAATTAGCGTGATCCTCTAAATTGAGGACATCTCCGACTCATGGTAAGCGAATGACCCTGCGATATCACTTGCAAGCACATTTGACGAACCATCAAAGTAGAGCAGAAGCCAAAGTTCCGGCCCTGTGAGAATCTTGATACGCTTCACATGTACATACCAAATAACGTTCTATGCACATGGGCATGGGCATACATACACGCTCTTCGCCTGGATATCAGCAACGTAGATCCCACCCAGCATATCCCCCCAAAAAAACTATGATATACTTCATCCCCTCCACATGCGACGCTCTGGACGAGGTATGTACATGTATAACCTAGTTGGCAGTACATACATGTACAGATTCATGTATCTTCTGAATGTGGCGCCAGTACCTGGATCTGGACCTAGATGTGGGTTTTTTCATTTTGAAGGTGGTGTTGATGTGGGTCATGGCACGTTTCAGACGTGAGGGTTGCGACTGGTTCGGTAATGCAGATGAGGACACATGGACGGGGGTGTTAGGGTTTTAATTGAGAAAGAGAAGGGTTTACAGTAGTTCTTTAGTATAGAATGTTGGGGGATTAGGATGTAATGTACAGTAACATTAATTGTTTGTGGATGTATACTTCCAGTCGTTGGGCTTCGGGGAGTACATAGATTGAACCGCATCATAATGATCAAACTATTTGCAGTAGGTTTATAGAAGTCTTTGGCATCAATTGAACAAAGAACCAACCAACACAGTCTAGACCAGAATACAAAATTAAAAACCAGGAAATACTGTAAAATAATTAAACGGATTGAGACATTCAAGTAAAATAGAAATAAAAAAACAAGGAAATAAAAACAATAAATTCAACAAAATGAAAATTTTCAAGTCCGGTAGACCGACTAGTTCACCGACGTCCAAGCGGCTAGCTTCGCCTACCCGCGGCGCAACCCAACAATACCAGAAGAGAGGCAATTGCAATGTCGCCATCAGCCATGACACAATGGCTGAGCACGACATGATACTAAAAAAATTCTACAATTTACAAAAGAAAAATAATGGGAGATATCAAATCCAGCCCGGGCAAAGCCTAGACATGTAATTGTATTGAAAAGCCGTCTAGAAAGTAGTAGCACGGCAAAGCGCGATATTGGGGAATATGTTGAAAGGGACACAAAAAGCAGAGACAAAGAGACATATCGACTCAGAATGAGACACATAGGGAATGAAAAAGAGAAATCAAATCAAAGCACAGGACTCCGACTCCTTGAGAATGATGCAGCCAGACCCGTGAGTTCGATGGTACAATTTCAATTCTTCTGGGTGGAGTGTTGACGTGTTGATGTTTGAGCGTGTTGAAAGGGATGACCACCCGGGTTCCAGAACCTGGCGATATGCTTGTGTGGATTTATTGCTGGTGCAAGGGTATCCGAGAACAAAGAACGCCGGTTGTCCATGATGTGAGTGAAGCAGTCTCGATGTAACAAAGAAAACGTGTGTTGACGTGTGTTGAAATTTGAAATTGTTGTAAGTCGCAGGAATGGGGTATCGGCGACTCAGAAAGAAACAGACGGGTATCAAGTGTCTTGTTGAAGACTGTTCAACTTTTGCATGTTTGTTGAGAGCTCGTGTTTCGGTCTGGGTCATCCGTAGAATTCCCGCTTTGTTGGTATTAAAAAACTGAGAGTCGAAAGAAAAGAGAAAGACAAGAACTTTTTTTGGCGTGTCATAATGTCATAATCTCGTTCAAAACGAGTGTATTGATGTTGACGCAATGCATCTAGGCAGTGCCCTTGAGCTTGCCCCAGCCCTTCTCCAAACCACGACGAGCCATATCGCGAGCACGATCAGCGACAGATCCGGTACTGGAGTTGGTAGCTGTGCTGGCAGCAGAGTACTTGCGGCTCAGGCTAGAGCTGCTAGAGTCGTCGCGGAACATGGTGTTACCAGCACCACCGCGGCCCACGTGGTAGACGGGCGCGGCGCGGCGCAGGTCGCGTTCGAGCTCTTCGTCGAAGCTGAAGATGGCTCGCTCGCTGCTGCTGTGGACGTTACCGGCACCTCCGCGGCCAGCCATGAAGGTTGTTGGGGTGCGGGAGTCGAGCCGGGTCAGCGACGCTGGACCGGTTGCGGTATGCGAGGGAGTCGTCTTGGTGTTCTTGAGGCTAACGACGTTGCCAGCACCACCGCGGCCGGCGTAGACTGCTGGGCGGCCTGCGCGCGGTACCGAGGGGTGCGGTTCAATAACTTGGTAATTTGAGCTGGGCATTGTGATGTGAAGATTGAAGATTAAAGGTATGTTGTAGATGTAGAAGTATTCAAACGTGAACAGGCTAGCTGCGAATGCTATAATGACAAGTCCATGTGAGGCTGGGCAGAAATTGCAGAAATGAATACTATGGGGCTCTCCCTGGCAACAGCGGGGGGCAAGAGTTATATAGTCCAAGGGCCAAAGAGTCACGATGTTCCACCAGGTACCATCCATGGGTCACAAGGTGACTGTGGAGTATTTTTCGCTCTTTTTTTTATTGGCATTTTCGCTTTCGTCATTGTGTTACAGCGGCCAGATGTGTTTCCTATTAGGGTGCTGTGTCAGCCCCTTGTGACCTGTTTATCGGGTATTATTGGACTATAGATACCCCATATGGCCGCCCTACACATCCTAGTGCCTGCCGCTTTAACCCTCTTGCCGCCCATCTGGGCATTTCCAAGTCATCTGACTGGGGCTGCTCCACCACTACCAAGTGGCAACACGTAAAAGAAACTGCTTCATCCAATCATTATTTCCATTACCCCCAGGAAATGCAGAAAAACCTCTCATTTCTTGGTCATTGATGTCCAGATCGCAACATTCTTTCACCGCATATACAGTATAACTTTGATCACGTCAGGTGTTGCAATTCTACTGTAAATGATCTGACTTGATGCCAAGGAAATCCTGCACCTGCAGCATATTGCAGTATGGCGTATATAGGTATATAGGTTATAGTTATAATAGTTAACGTTATAGTGAGGTATATACATAGTAGCAACTGACACATATAAAATACCAGAATACCAGGTGACTTCCACGGTTGTAATTTACTGCTCCAACAATTGCATCATTTGCCGGCCCGTGTCCACTTTCTATTTCCAGAGTGCAACACAAAGCACGTCAAGGCTGATGCAATACTGCTTGTGCAGCACATCTAGAATCATTCTAGTTATATACGCATGTACTGTACAACTACATAAGTTATTGTACTAGAATCAACTTCCCTACATCTCAACAGTTCATTACTAGTATAGTACATACCGACATTCAAAGGGACGCAGATCGCAGCACAATGACTCCATCCACTGAAATTTGCGGGATAATTCCCCCTTAGCGCATCGTCGATCCGGTCTAGTTCGCGTATCGGTACCTGAAGGGGGCAGATCATTCAACCTTGCAAGAATTCACGCAATCCCTGCCTAGACCGCCGAGAAAATAGTGTCTACATAGGTCATTGCTGCCTCACGCCACTAAGAATGTTCTCGTCAAGGAGTCGAGCCGAGTAATCCGATCAAAACCAAAAACCGTTCAGGGGCTATGACGACAAGTCCCAAACATGGCAAAAATATTGAAAGAAAAAGAGATGAAAATTTTTTACCCGTCGTGTGATCTGAGTGGCCGAGAGATCCGAAGCGGCGTGTCAGGCAAATGAACGCCACTGTCTGTGCGTTTCCCCAGATTTTCTCCCCCAGACTCGGCTTGCATATTCTTTTCCTCCTGGATATCCCTCCGCTGGGACCTCCCGGGCTATGTCATGTGTATTAGAGCGTGACCTTCTGGCGAACACCCCTAGAGCCTCGGCTTCCTCTATCCCTGTTTAGGGAATCATTCCACCTCACGTGGGGTTAAAACGCCTACGCCTACGTGTCTATGCGGGGAAGCATACAGTATTCATGGCAGGGTTCTCTATACCTAATTTGCTACCCGGCTAGGTCAGGTACAGCAGACAGCAGGCAGCAGATATCCCGACATCCCAATTGGAAGGGAGAATTGACTCGCAACTATACAGCACAAACCACCTGATATGCAGTCGACACCCCTGCGTCATAGAACGACACGACATATCATACATGTATTTCAACTAATATCACATCGCGCAATGCGCGATTAAACCATCCATTCCACCATAATGCCATAATACCAAGCACGTAATGCATAATCCACTACCCCCAGGACTCTAAACTGTCTACCCCAAATTGTATCACACCTGCATACACTAGCACCATCGAACTCTACCTTGGAAGGTTCCTCCCATTCCTCACCCCGCCCTCCCCCAACTTCATATTATCTAATAGTACCGCATGATGACACATGATTATCACCGCCGCCAGGTCGAGACCGGCAATACAACCCGGTTAGTGGACGGATCATAGCCGGGCGGTACGGGGTGTACCTAGGTAGAGGTAGATGTATTACACTGTGGTATGGGGTCTAGATGCGAGGGCTGGGGTTGGATTACTTGATTTGAACGTCGACTCCTGACCTACACATCTCAAGTTACTTGCTCAATGTGCGGTGTATCCAGGTTTAATGGGTTAAGTTACTTAGCTGGTGTTCCTGCTTATCCGGTCCCCGTGTTCGGATGTCAGCTCGGGTAGGCGGACCGAACGAATAGAGTCGAGCTGGGGTGTTACTATTGAGTAATGGTTCAGCTGTTGTCTAGGCATGTTTGGTGCGTTGGTTTTGTACTGGCTGAGGCATTTGGTATATTATGGAATGGTCTGGAGTGGAACGCATTTCCGGAACTGTATCTTGCAGACGGGTCTGCGTCAGCTGTTACAATTACATTTAGGTGTTAAGGCTAAGCTCGTTGTGTTGGGATTTGGTCTAGTTGATATGTTGGTGCATATTGCAATTCATGGTTTTGGAATTGGCTGCCTGGTTTGGTTTATGTCGTGCTGGATTGTCAGTTTTGTGGTATCTTGCTAGGTTCAAGGTTGGCAATGTGTGTCTTTGTCTTATTCAGCCTATTTTTCTCATACTCTATTACAGATTCCTCGAAAGTTCCGTGGCGGATATAGAGCAATTCTGTGTACCTGAACTGAAACACATTTCTTGATCGTGTAACACAAAGCAGAAAAACAAGATTTCTGACCTGGTTGGCAGTCGTTTCTAGAATGCTTGTTTGGAATTCGTACGAGCTTTGTGTCACCATGGAATCCCGTGGGCCTTTTTGTCTTAACTTCGAACGAGTTCCGTTTATGCAACGGCTTCCGGAATCGAGATTCATGTTTACGAATAAGCGGGAAAGTGAGCTAGAGAGTGAGCGATTGTCTCTGGGTTCCGACGCAAAGTATGACGGCCCTCTTTTTTGGCTTTTTTTGTTTAAAATACATGTCCGTAGTTGACGAACTTGCAGTGGAGCTCAGCCCTAACGGCGAGCCTCACTCTTGGCAGCAACGTCTCCATCCTCAAAACTCCTCGCCATTTGAGCGTCGACATCCGTCAGATCTCGTATTACCAGGTTATTAGGCTTCATCCCTCCAGGCTCATGCTCTGCTCTCTCTCAATAGCAGTCTCCGTCTTGACCCCAAGCTTGAGATCCTTGGGGTCGACACCCTTGGTCTTGATACCCTTGGCCCCGGTCTTCACACAATCAGAATCGACAACCACATATTCAAGATGGTGGTCAGTGAACCCATGGGAGCTTGCACTAGGACGGACGTGGGCCGACACCACAACCCGAGCGTAGAACCGTCCTTTCGATTTGAGAGTAAAGACAGTGCTCATAAGCTGGACCAGGTGACCCACATGACAGGCGCTGGTTCGGGCCATCAGGTGGATGTCGAAAAGCACATACTGAATATCATGCTTGGCGTGAACAGCTCGGATGGCGCATCGCCAATCGTTGAAAAGCTTCTCAAGGACTGCCTTCTCCATGACAGCCTGCTCGGTATCGATATCAATCAGCTCGGGGAGGATGTAAATATCTTTGATGGTGTCGAGGAGGTAGAGGTGCAACTTGGTTGCTGCTTTGCGGACAGTCATGATGCCCGGCTGGGGATTTTCATTCTCCTCGTAGAGGAGGCGGAGAGCATTGGGGTCCTTGATTGCAAAGGTGTATGGACCCTCCGAGGATGGCATCTGACCAAAGGGGATCAAGCCGCCGATTTTGTTTGTCTTTGGCTGGAAGAAGCTCATGCGTAGGGAGCCATGGCGGTTGACTGAGAGGAGGATCTCGGTCTCGTTGGTGTGCTTGAATGCCACGATCGTAGACTTCTCAGTTGACTTAGATCTGAGGATCTCAGGGCCGACGGAGGATAGGAAGTCCATCTTGATGTTAACCAAGGTGGTGGATGAGGGGGTAAAAGGAGTGGTGCGGAGAGAGGAATATGATCAGACGCGAGGTTATTTTTGAGGCTTATAGACGCGACTTATCCAAAGTGGGATGACATGAGAATCGACGCGTCGTAGGGCTATTTGTTCGTCATGCGTCAGTACAACTGTGGCTCAGCGCAAGAACAACGGTTCTTGATATAGCAGAGATATGGTACTACAGTGCTCTAAAGTGCAAAAACCACGGTTATCCACACAGAATAATATTATAGCGTTTATTAGCCTTTTTGGGTCTATGAAGCTGGACATGCAGTGAAGCGGAGTGAGGACCGTTACCCGATTGAGATGTAGTAGTTCAAAAGTACTATGCATACTATCAAGATTAGATCTACTGTGTATCCTGTGTCAATATCCCAGATCAAGAGTCTCTAAGCTGGGGCATCGAAGACCCAGTGACTCCCGCCAGCACATCGATATCCACTGCTTTGATGAATCCATCGATAGCCTTGAACACAGACGCCCATTTTCTTCAGCTTCATTTGATTAGCCTCTTCCTTGCGTCGTGCCTGGACAAAAGCCTCTTTCTTCCTCTGAAGTTCGTCCAGCAGATCTTCTTGTCGTCTACGTTCCAATTCGTGCTTCAATCGAGCTTGTTCATGGCGCTTTTATGCATCATCGTCGGCTTTGTGTCGTGCTTCATCTAGCTCTCTTGTTGCTTTGTTCTCTTCTTCTTTCAGTTCCAGTATAGCCTTTTGTTGGGCTTCTTCTTCTTTCTGTAAACGCAAATATTCCTTCTCTTGAGCATCTGTCAGGGCTTTATCTTTCTCAAGTTGGTACCATACCGCATCATCAACGCCAAAGTCGCGCTTAGTGGTAGCTATGCTCCCCTCTGTACGGGTTTCAATGACCGCGTTCTGCTCGGTGCTTGCCGTGTCCTCCTGGGCCAAGCTTCGGCTTTCCACTGGCGCGACTGGTTTGGCGATGGTTTTGGTACGTACAGCAAGACCTGTCTTCTTCGGCCCCTTGGTCATGATTGATGAGGTTTTCAGAGCGTTTCCTCGATGGGACCGCTCAAGTATCATGAAGTCGATGTCCTCGAGAATTGTCGCTTTGCTCAATTGCATCTTCTGTCCATTGGAGCACTCAATTGTCTTCCCGAAAATTGTCTTTGTTAGAGTACCAACATCTCGGGCATTTGCCCAGCCTTTGGTTTCTGACAGAGTATCAAAGCGTTCCGACACATCTTTCATGAAGTCGTAATCAGGGCTTTGTAGGCACGTGATGTCAAAATCCACCTGAGATTTTTCAAGAAGCTTTTTCTTTTCTTTTGACAGTAGCTCGAAAGTCAACCGAATACAGTCCTTTGAAGACAGATAGTCGAATTGAAGAGACTCGGGGAAGCGGCTTGTTAGACCGTCGTTGATAGACATGAGACGGTTGATATGTTCATCGTAGCCGGCCAAGATGATGATCAATTTTGGCTTAAGCGCTTTAGAAAGGAGTTGGGCGGCAGATGCGGCGATGCAGCGTTTGAGTTGGCAGCAACGCAGCAAATAACATGCAGGCTAACAGCAAGGCAGCAAATAACATGCTGTTTTCCTTTGGTTTACTGGCTATTTCTTTGGTGGCACAACATAACCACATTTGACCTGCAGCACAATCGAGACAAACAGCCAATCAAGCTGACGTTTTTGACTTTGGACAGGGATTCATGATAGCTACATCTATATCCTGGTAAAGTAACCTAGAGACCCCGCGCATATAGCGAACGATCTTGTAGCAAAAATACCAACTTCTGGCTTAAAAGCTGGTTGTTCCTCATCCAGCCTTGTGTTCCTTTACAACTACCAGCCATACTATCTCCAAATACGATACTCATCACCTGCCCCCTCCCGACTCACGGTTATCGTTTTTCATTTCTCAAACTACCATGTTTCGTCGAGGACGAGGAGGAAGATGGAGGGGAAGAGGTGCTGGAAGAAGTACAGAAATGGCAACTCCGGCTCCGCCACTGGGGGACATTCTCGCAACGTTTCAGCTTGATGACCTTAAAGAGCCAGCAGATCAAGCAGCTGGTCTTCCTATAATCACCAAGTGTCGGTATCTAGCATCCTACAACTGGCTTTACCGAGCAGAGCCTGAATCTTCGTTCCAGGTATGAAGATTTCCATAACCACAACGTATCTCTATGATCATGAACTGATGCATGTTTACAAAGGTGAGCCACCGGCTTGGACACCTCCCTCAAAGCCTCCTCAGCTCCAAGAAGATTCCGGTCAATACTATCGTGACCTGAATGCCGCGCGATCTCTCGCCTACCCGCTGGAGCCGATGATCCAAGCAGTCTTGACAGACAAGCCCGGGTTTAACTTGGCCAACTTGGACATCATTGGGTGCGGTAGCACAATGGGCAACCTCCTTCGCTTTGTGCGTGAGCAAGACAAGCCTTTCAGGATGCTTGTTGAGGTGGTCGGAAACACCGTCTTCTTGATCCGGGGAGAGAACTCGCCGACTGAAAAGCTCGTCGGTGTATACGGATATGGACATGCTTTTCCAGAGGCCAATACCACATGGAGCAAGGGGGTCAAAGGGTCTATGTCTCAGCAACGGTTGATACAGTATGACTTTGCAGGCATGAAATGTTTGGTGCGGTTCGAGGCAGACGGCTATTTGCCCGACTTAGCCCCAGACGTGGCCAAATATCACATTCCCGAGCCAGATGAAGTTAACGCGGACGATGTCCTGGCTTCCATCAAAGAAGCTACCATCTCGATCATTCACCTGGCCACCACAGATGATGACCCGAAGAAGCTCCGCATCGAAAGGAAAGGTCGCCATATCCCACAAGCCGCGGTGTATGACTTGAAAACTCGCTCGATCAAGAAAAAAGACGTCGACACCCTTGGAGAAGAGATTGCTCGATTGTGGATTGCACAGATTCCCAACTTCATTCTTGCGTACCACAAGTTTGGTAAGTTCGAAGATGTTCAGGTCCAGGACGTGAGTGAGAAGGTGAAGTAGTGGGAGAAAGATCAGCAACCAGTGTTGGTCAAATTTGCCAATCTATTGCAGATGATAGTGTCTTTTGCTCGGAGCAGTGAAAGTGGTCGGTTCGAGATTGAACGTGAGGAGGGCGGAAAGTGTTTGAATCTGAGAGAACAAGGCGGAGTGGTCAATAGCGTCTTGTCCTCGGCTCTTACAAAGGAGTGGGATGTTGAGATTGATGCTGATGACACTGAAGTTTTTCGTTCTTCTTCTTGATTGCTGCTTAACTGGCTTTCGTGATGGGTTACTAGGTAAAGGAATTGCAGGAAGGTTGCTTGCCCTACTGGTGGATACGAAAGAATCAAGTTTCTGGCATGAATAAACCAAACATGAATAAACCAGACATGCACATTTCTACAAAGCCTAAACTTCTTGGGAATCTACAGTAAGGAGTCAGCCAGTAAGATTAAACATGTCCTGCTCAACTCGACAGCGATCTCCCGAGTGAAAAAAGAAAGAAAGAAGATAGTATCACAAATTCGACCTTGGGCTCGACCTCATAGTTCGTGACCAAAGCAGATAGCTACCATCACATAGTCCATAGTTCCACTTCCATCTCTCTACAATACTAAATTATTCTCCACGTCATTACCCCGATATCCTTCAGCTCCTCATAATGTGAATGTGGACCTAGGGGTGGCCACTGAATACGAGCTAAAGCAACCGGACTCCTGCCGCCCGTGCAGCTTGCATAAATTAGGGTATGACACAGACGCAAACTCCCCATTTTATCACATTGAGCACCTATTATTTCCCACGGATTATGAAGTCCTGCATGGAAGTCCCATGCTGTGGAATCATGGCGCAGGTGTTCTGGCATCATTCGCGCGCTGGCTCCACTTGACTGTTACATATATTGTAGTGCTTGAGCAATCTCGGTTGTGTAAATGGGTAAAGATCGTTGGAGACCAGCCAAGATACTCTTTGGCCGCCTACGTGTACCTCTAGATGCAATATAGCCCCGCAGCGGGTTTGAATCAGTTAGTGGAGGGTCGCATATCTTGAAAGTACTTAAATAGTTGTCTTTCATTCTAGAATACTATATCACGGTCGCTATATAGGATAAGTACCATGTTGGTTTCTCTCGCTTCGGTGCTGGAACGGCTGAATATGAGTCCCTGGGCATTTCTTCTTTGGGGATATAGTGTCTATTTGGTGGCGCTGGGTATCTATCGAGGTAAGCAGGCACGTTAATGCGTCACATATGGCAAACATAACTCTTTTTCAGTTTATATAAGCCCGCTGGCAAAGTATCCAGGCCCTAAGCTAGCCGGTACGTATGGATGGTTCTCGATATCAGTTATCTGCTAACGTCCTCAGGCCTGACAACTCTCTACCAGGCCTACTATGATGTTTGTCTCGGGGGAAAGTTCTTCAAGAAGCTTGAGCAGTTGCATAAAGTATATGGTACTATAGCCCTCAGGTGAGGAGTTAACAGTCACTTAACTTACATCACTAGGCCCCGTTGTTCGCATCAACCCGCATGAAATCCACATCAACGATCCTGAATTTATCGAAGTTCTCTTCACCGGAGCCACCCAAAAGCGAGACAAGTACAAGTGGATGGGACGATCTGTCTTGCGTGAGTTACTTCGACTGATGGAAGATGCCTAAATTGCCTAGGTAACTAACATATCGCAGTGCCAGACTCGGTTGTCGGAACCATCGGTCATGACCTCCATCGAACACGGCGGTCTGTATTGAACCCATAATTTTCCAAATCGAGTATTCGTCGCTTCGAGGACCGCATTCAAAACACAGCTGGAAAGCTTATGGGCCGCTTGGTAGAAGCAGGTAAAATTGGTGAAATTCTGCCCATCAAACTGGCTTTCAAGGCGGCAACCTGCGATGTCATCAGTGAGTACTGCTTCGGTGTATCTACCAGCTACGTGGAGCATGATGATTACAATCGTGGGTGGTTCGATGCCGTCGATGCCATGTTCTATATGGCATGGCCGATGACTTATATCTCCTGGCTGGGGCCTCTGATGGAGAGGCTTCCACCGTCTGTCATCGGACTGATGCATCCTGGTCTAAAATCTTTGTGGGACATGCATAGTGTGAGTCCCGATACAGTGTTCCAGTGCATGCGTATTTGCTAAATCCATGATTCAGCAATGGATCGAACAAATTGAAGCAACCCGGAAGAGCGGAAGGCCTGGAGGTGCAGACGCTACCTTATTTCATGGTCTCTTGGACAGTGATCTCCCCCCAGCTGAAAAGACGACCGACCGATTACGGCAAGAGGCACAAATGGTGATACTAGCAGGGCAGGATACCACTGCATTTGTTCTTACCTGCCTTACTTTCGAACTCCTGTCTCACCCGGATATGCTTAAAAAGGTCAAAGCCGAGCTCGAAGCTGCACTACCAGATCCAAACAGCATCCCTTCCTTGGCCATCGTAGAGAAACTCCCGTACCTTTCTGCGGTCATTGCTGAGGGCCTCCGGGTTCACCCTGGAGGTCTTGTTCGAATGACTCGTGTGGCTCCAGAGAATACAATGGTCTATTATGACAAGGCCTCTGGCAAAGAGTGGGTTATTGAGCCCAGTACTCCTACCTCAATGACTGCTTTGGACAACAACATGAATACCGACATCTTTCCGGATCCATACAAGTTCGAACCTGAGCGCTTCATTGAGAATCCGCGTCTAGAGAAATATGTGTTGACATTTTCTCGAGGAACGCGCATTTGTTTAGGGTCAGTCTGACCAGACTCTGTTTTGCAATAAAGATCGATTCGCTGACAATACTCCACAGATTGAATCTTGCGTACGCGGAGCTCTTTATCATTTTGGCTGGTGTCTTTCGCAGGTTTGACCTTGACGATGGCACTGGGAAGCAAACTGGCCCAACTTTGGCATTGTATGACACCATTCGAGAGCGGGACGTCGATACAATCAGGGACCAGATTATATCTCTTCCCGTTGAAGGTAGCAAAGGTGTACGGGTGCAAGTCAAGGCGTAATGAAGGATATCATATTTCAACCCGGGTATATTGCCAAAGTGGGCAAATATGTGGCTAAGATAGTAAAGAGATAGACGAGCGCCGTCGTAGCCACGGGGATTTGAAAAGACGTTCGTACATAGGCTATGCGAGGATACCTGATGCGTGGAAATCAAAGTTTTGATCACAACTCCTCGGTTGTACAACAAGATAAATTATCTCATATGTAGCAAAGCACACATTGCATCAGTTCATATTCATTTTATCACCACAAAGTCTTCACAAGATCAAAAGTGTTGTACTTCAAAGAATCCCCGAAAGCAGATGCGATAACACTATTTTGCCATGGCTGACCGCCCGTACCGCCCTCGCCATCGAGCTCCGAGCCCTGCTAGACTTGCTCAGTCACTTCCTCCTGATTGACGAGAGTTTCGCATTCTCTAAGGTTCTTCTTCAAGTTACGAAATTGAAGTCTCAGACAATCCCTGTCAACAAAGCCCTCGCCTCCTGAGCAACGCCTATCCCGAAAGGGAATTTTCGTCTTTCGCGCGACGACAGCAAAGTACTTGCTGAAGAAACCACCAAAATGCCAAAATATAAGTCCTCCTTGGATATAATACGTTGAACTGGAAGCTAACCGCTATGCACTCTTCTGTAGGTGTCCTCCAGACTTGAAGTCCGAGCAGACAACGCCGAGTCTCATCAAGCTATTTCCGGGCGCGCTGCGACTCAACGACAGATACTCCGAAAATCATGGCCAGATTACTGACTTAGGCTTCATTTCACAGGCGACTATTGCGATGTATACCTCACTCACGACTCGATGAGCGTGCGGAAGGCGCATAACTCGGGTCGTAACCATCTGAGGAACGTCGTCGAATACTACCAACGTACGCTCGCAAGACACAACACAGCAATGCATGACAGAACGGCTAACAGTATGAACCCATACAGAAATCGGTCAAGAGAAGGCTCAATCCGTCATCGACTCGATCACCTCGTCCTACGCCGCTGAGGGCCAACCTCTACCCAATCCCGCAATGGTGCCCGGCGCTTTCCCGCCGCCATTCGGCTTCCCTGGTATGAACATACACACCCTCTTCTCAATAAACCGAAACAAAACTAACAGTCAAAAAGGTCGACCAGGCCAAATACCCCCTCCCCCCTTCGGCATCCCACCCCCAGGAGCCCCCGGTGCACCAGGCATGCTACCTCGTACGTGACCGCCCAACACAATCCCATTCCATCCAAACCCAAGACTAACAAGCTTCACAAAAACAGCCCCAGGTGCCCACGGCGGCCTCCCCTTCCCACCGCCCTTCAACGCAACAGGAACACCCCCAACAGGCGGCTTCCCCCCGCCCCTCCCCAACATGCCCCAAGGCGCAGGCCTGCCCCCTCCACCCCCAGGCGGCTTCCCCAACATGCCTTTCCCACCTCCCGGTGCAGCGGGCTTCCCGCCTATGCCCAGTGCCCCGATGGGTGCTACGAATTCGCCGGTTCCTACCGGTCCGCGTGGCTCAGAAGGGTATCCTCCTCCCCCTGGTGGTGGACCACCTCCTGGGATGGATTCTCGGTGGTGATTTTGTTTACTGATACCTTTTTCTAACTGATTTCTCTGCTTTTGTTGTTTGGGATTGGGAAGTGGGGGGGTGTGGTGTCGGATGTGATATTGATATTGATTGCTTTGCGTTGAGTTACATTGCATGTATCTCCGGTACCATCCTCTCTCTCCGTGGGTCTCTTTGTTTTGCTGTTAATGTAAAATAGCGATTTTTCTTCTTATTTTTCTCTGCTTTCTCTATCCATGTTACGCTCCATCTCAGATGAATCTTTGCGATTTCGACAGGCGCTTCTGTCTGCTGTTATCAGATCATGAAATTGGATTCGTTACGAGATCCTCAGACCATATCCTACCAACCTAAACCTAAACATAACCATGGAAGATTGAGAATCAGTTGATTCAATTGTAGTCATAGATTCGAGTTATCTTATTCTTACATGGTACACAGTACAGTTGTAGGCAGATAATTCTCATTTTTAGACACTAGGATTACTTTCCAACTGGCACAGAGAATCAAAAACCCAAAAACGAAAAAACGGAAGAGTATATTTCGCCGGCAGATGCCAACGAACACCGCGAAAAGAGGAAAGAGAAAAGAGAAAAACTTGAAACCCCAAAGCCGGTCACCATATCCAGAATGCATCAAACGCCGAACAAAGTCAAAGACAAGGAAAATACAAGTCGATTGCGGTGTCTCGACTAGGGAGAGAAGAAGATAAAGAAAAGAAAAATAGATCAAGGTAAGAGAAAGTAAATGGGAAGGGATTGAGGAAAGAAATGGATCACACCGGTTATAAAGGTAGGTGGATTAAGGCGAAAGGAAGTCAAGGTAAAATACAAGTCGCCAGCGAGAAGTGTATAGCGGACTTGGGCAGAAGAAAGAAGAAGAAAAAACCGAACCCAGAGGATGGCGATTGGAAAAAGATCATAGACCATCGGTATCCCGCGCTAATAAAAATCACATATCTTCATCTCGGAAGCAACAAAATAGAAGGGACTGGCTTTTTAATGATCGTAACCAGCTCCCCTTTGCCATGGACTGGCGTTATTTTGGGCCCGGTAAGTGGTCGACAAAGCAGATTGGCCGACCGGGGCGTTGTCATAGCCCCGAGCGGCGGGCGAGGGAGACCGACCAAATTGGTCGTATCCAGGGGGAGAACCTCTGTTGGTAGGGAACAGTGGCACTGATGGGTCAACCGGCGAGGCGGGGGCCTGGCGGACACTGGGGTGGTGCGGGTTGGTGGATTCCATCTGGTGGTGGCCGAGGCTGGCACCATTTCCGCTTGAGATAGAGACGGCGTCGTCATCGAAGGGGTTGTTGTGGTATTGTCCAGACTTGACATCACCGCGGGCGGTGGCACCAAGGGCGTCCAGCTCCGTAGTGAGCTGGGTCTGGGACTTGATGAAGGAGCCACGGTCGTCACGCATGGGCTGGTAACGAGTATCGGGGTCCTTCGACACAATGGCGTACACCGAGGCAATCAGAACGAGGATCAGAAGTACCAAGGCGAACACGGCGTTGTAGACAAAGAAGATAACACCCATGACACCAATCATCAGACCCGGGGGGTTGAAAACGTCAGAGAAGACCAGCAGGAAGATGGAGTTGAGGAAGTTGATGACTGCAATGGAAATGTTGTAGATGTTGGTCTTCTTGTCCATCCAGGGACGAAGGACGCAAACGGCGATCAACATGGCGAGTTCAAGAACCACGAGGGCCACTGTCTGCACGACCGGTGCAGGTTGGCTCAGACCGATGAACATACTCTTAATCAGAGTATAGATGAGGAAGGGAACGACGAAGTAGTATGCCGTGGCGCGGTACTGCACGTATAAGAAGCCCCATTTGTTTAGGCAGGAAGGATCGGAGTAGAGGATATAGGCGGGGTTCTTGTGCATGGTAACTGAGCGCTTTGCCAACCGGATAACCTTCTGGGCGGCCCATCCGAGAGAGATGAGCATAGACAGAAGCATAACCGCTGCCAAAACCACCTCGGCCGCGGAGTCGCGTTGAGTGAATTCCCAGAGACAGAGGACACACATTTGAGGGAAACCGATCAAAGTGAGACGGAACAGAATGCCACGCAGGACAACTTTCCATCCGTTGCGGAAGTCCTGGAAACGGTCACTCTTCATTTTGCCGTGCTTAACTAGCAGCTCGGTGATACCCTTGAATGCTGCAACGATGATGACGACAATGACGACGAATACCGCGAAGAAGATCAAACCAGTGAGGAAAATGTTGGTTTCTTCAATGTTGGAACGGAAGCCGACACGATCAATACCTCGCACGACAACGAGCTTTTGGTTTGAGTCGGTTCGCTTGAACAAACCAGCTGCGCGCTTCATAATTGGTGAGTTAGAGGCTCTCTTCAGCATGTTAAGTGCAGAGTCGGGAAGGTCACGCTTGCGACGCTTGAGGACTTCAACAGAAGTATCACCAAGCTGGGACAGGAGAGTCGAGGGGGTTCCACCAGTTGCTCGCTGATACCAGGTCGCAATAGTCTGGATGAATCCAACGCGGATAATACCCATACTCCATTGGAAGTTCTGAGTCCATGCCTCCACAATTGGGGGCATGTGCACAGAGGTCATGCCAATCATCGCTTGCGATTGCATAAATCCGAAGAGAGAAAGGGCATTTGCTGCAACGTGCGCCGCAGTATTAGAGTGACCGAGACCAGAAGTAATAGCGGATGCAGCAAGACCCAAGCCGGAGATGACAGCAGTTGTCCATGCGACTCCGACTTGATCCACTGTTTTACCGTTGGAAAGTGAGGCTTCGACACAAGCAATCTTCTCTTGCGTATCCTTTGTCTTGATGGTAATGCGAACATTGGCGTCAAGGTCTGGAACGGTATAGGCGATACCTGGATTCGACTCATTTAGCACTCCGAACTTCTTGTCATCCTGCGCATCGCATCACTCACCTGGAATGTTCGCGGCGGTGTCCGAGGGCAGATCGAGAGACAGTGGACCCAAATCCATCGGTCCAGCAGCCATAGGACACATGCCCATGCCAGCAATTGAGCAGGGATCGAGGGTCTTGGTGAGTGCCTCGTAACCATAGGCGGTAATTGTCAGATCAGCAGTGACCTTACCCGTGATGTATGAAACACCATCAAATCCGATCACTAGGGAGTTATTGCCCGGATAGAAGACAACGTTGAAGTATGTTGCTGTGAAGTTACTACTCTCCATGCACACATTCAGAGCATTAGATTCGAGGAGTTTGACAGCAGATGCCATCGGCGCCAAAAAGGCGACGAAGCATGTCAGAAGCGATATTAACCGCATGTTGGCGTGTAGATGTCAAAGATAGTTTTCGCAACAATGGGTGATTATTCGGAAAAGATGAGGGGACAAGTGACAGCGGTCGTGTCAGCGGCACTCCAGAGTACCACGTTGCCAGCCGCCGGATGCGGAAGTCTTAAGACGGCCGAGTCGTCGGTCGCCGTGGGGCCGAAGTATTTCCCAATGGATGCCAATGCTGTCACAGCACTGGATGTTTATAGTAAGTTGTTTTGGTGAGAGATCTCTGTTGTGGCGATCGAGCCTTTACTGTTTCATTTGAAGGTCGGAGAGGTGGAGAGGCGGAGGTGGAGGCGCAGACGCAGAGACGCAGAAACAGAGTGAATAGTCGCAAGGAGTGACTATTTGGTTGGTCGAAGATGAAGGAAAGTCGATAGGTCAAGACCTGAACGAGTGAATAGAGCAGACTCAAGGAAGCAGCCGAAAAGAAGTCGAGGAGCGAGTGAACTGGCGATACACAGTATAGCCGGGAAAAAGAAAAGGGGGAATATTGGTCGAATTCAAGGGAGAAACAAGATAGAAAGGGAGTAGCACTTGATTCCCAGGAACCGTTAAGAAAGAGAGAATGAGGGTGAGGAGAGGGAGATGCGCAGGTGTGTCTCAGGGAGGAAGAGATGGCGACGGTCAGGTATGTGGTAATTACCGTAAGATGACAAAGGCGGCTAGTGTGGGACCAATCAGAGCCCTGTATTTATGTTTGAGTTCGTTCCCCTTTCCCCGTGATGGCATCGCAAGGACATTTTGTTTCTATTCTACGGTCTGTGATACATGCTAAACATCTATATATATATACTCTCATCTTTACTTCTCTTCGTATACAAAGCACACGCATCCACGTGCTGGCCGGAAGCGGTGGCAGCGGGTCCTTCAGATTTACAATCTTTGTTAACAATTAACTGTACCAAAGGAACTGTTGCCCCCGGCTGTGGAGTGCCACCCGAAATGTGCCATCCGCTGTGGACCGTTACTGCATGGCTATGTACGTGAACGGAGACACCTGGTACATGGTATATTTCGTCTGCCTAATCCATGGGCTAATCGAAATTAGGTCATTCTTGGGTTATATGTCTCCCTTAAACTCCCAAGGGGGCCTCGCCTAGAATACGGACAGGTACAGTTCTAGGTACACTACTGTACATGTACTACTCTCCTTGGCTAGTCTAACTAAACCTTGGCGTGGATATCTTTGTCTTTTATTTGGGTGCCTGTCGAAAATTAGCCCTATAGATCCGGGGGCATTTCTTCCCGAGCTAGACGCCCTAGTCTACCCGCTGGGTCTAGAGCAGAAAGTCATCTTCTTATATAGATGTGTACAGTACATACTCTGGTCAGAATGTTTATATGTAATATAAAAGCGTGTCTGGAGCATACATGTACGTGTACTTTGAAGAATTTAAGTTAACTGTATAAGGATCGCCAAGTGCCCCCCTTGGCGTTCGATTGCACAGCCTCGTTGGCATACAGTAACCCCCATCGCACACTTTGGATCAGACATGTTTCATAAATAAAGGAACCTCCAGCATAGGCCATTTCTGAGCTTGACATAATTTAGCTCCCCCTATTCACTTTGACGTCCTCGTCCTGTAGGCCACATTGCCCCTGATCATCGTGGAGAGTGTTGATCGGGACGATCCCTCACTCGCGTGCTTGATATTGTTCTAACGTCCCGTCTTTATAGATTTAGGAGCTGAAGTAGCGCACACTTGTACTCTATGCTCCGTACAATATTTGACTACGGTACATACATTGTGGTAAAAAGGGGGTCGTATTCGTGTACATACGACCCAGTATTTCTTGTCAGTGCGGCTATTTTTGGGTCAGGGTTTTCACGGATTACCTTGTCATTGGCCCGTTCCTCTCTAGGCATGCAATTCTTTAATGTGATTGGCGAGAAATCTCTGTCTCTTCTATATCTTCATTGAAGTATCTGTATTGTTTGTTTAAATTATAGCAAGCATAAAAGTCTGTAGGTATTAGGGGCCAGATACTAGTATTTGACAAGTTACTGAACTAGTCTCAATCCTTCCACTCTAAGGGAGTAACGGCCGGCCTGGACACAAATTGCACTGCCTTATTAGTCAAGGATTATGTTCACATCTCCTATACAGCTGGCCAAAATCTATATTTCTAGGATGGAAGCCCTTGGCAGGGAGTCCATATGACAACCAAGCGATTACACAGCACAAATACACCTTTTTAATCTATATTGCAAGATTGCGTCTGCCTAAGTCAAGCAAAGATCGCGGCGCTTGCGTAACTTGGCCCTCTAGTATACATCCAGGCCGAGCAGTGGGTAAAGCAGGAGCCCACTGCAGTAGACACAGCTTGTCATCTGCTCGCTTAAGTTGTCTGGGCATATCTCTATTCTGGAACTGAGAGCCTGAAACATAGGTAATCTCCACGATCGTGGAACAACCATACAAATCAGCACCCAGCAGATTCCAACTTATCGCCTGAGGCCATCGACTGCCCCAAAATTACGGCATCGATCAGTCTATCAACACGTGATATGGATGTGTGGAGTTCTGCCGTATCTCACCGACCTGGAAAAAAAAAGTAGCAGAATGATTTCCGCCCGCAGTGACCATAATAATCTAGACCTGCAAACTTAAGGTCCAAGTGAAAAAAAAAGAATCTCAACAGGTTTCTTGTTTTGTCCAGTGTTGATTACCCCAGGCAGGACCAACCAACAAAATGCCTGGCCCCGTGGACACCGCAAAGTCCATCACGAAGAAGCGGAAGAGAAAGCACGGCGCACGCGCAGAGAACGAAGATGCCGCCAAGCCCGTGGAAGCCAAGTCCAGCCCTTCAGTGACCCCCAAAAAGAGCAAGAGCTCTGCCTCGACCAAGGCTTCAGCGGAAAAGTCGACCAAGAAGCGCAAGGTCAGCCCTTCGCCCAGCGCCTCTGAGGAAAGCGCTGACGAGGCCGAGGATGTGGAGGATGTCGAGGAGGTGGATGCACAGGAAGACAGCGAGGTTGAAGAGTCAGAGGAAGTCGAGACCAAGGGTGCTGGCTCGGATCTTCCTACCATGGATGATGTCCGTTTGCCGCAGACCGAGGGCGAGCTCCAGAAGTTCACTGAGCTCAACCTTTCCGAGAAGACTATGCAGGGTATCCGGGACATGGGCTTCGAGACCATGACCGAGATTCAACAGCGTACTATCCCTGCTCTGCTTGCCGGACGTGATGTGCTTGGTGCTGCTAAGACTGGTTCCGGAAAGACCCTGTCTTTCCTGATCCCCGCCATTGAGATGCTGAGCGCTCTGCGCTTCAAGCCCAGGAACGGTGAGTTTTATCTGTATTTTAACTTGGGACCATTGACTAATATTCTCAGGTACCGGTGTTCTCGTCGTGTCCCCTACCCGTGAACTGGCCTTGCAGATCTTCGGTGTCGCCCGCGAACTCATGGCCCACCACTCGCAGACATACGGTATTGTCATCGGAGGTGCCAACCGCCGTGCCGAGGCCGACAAGCTGATGAAGGGTGTCAACCTGCTCATTGCGACTCCCGGTCGTCTGTTGGATCACCTGCAGAACACGCAAGGATTTATCTTCAAGAACCTGAAGACTCTGATCATCGATGAGGCTGACCGTATTCTCGAAGTCGGATTCGAGGATGAAATGCGCCAGATCGTCAAGATCCTGCCCAAGGACGAACGTCAGACCATGCTCTTCTCCGCCACACAAACCACCAAGGTCGAGGACCTAGCCCGGATATCGCTGCGCCCCGGACCTCTGTACATTAATGTTGACCACCGGAAAGAGCACAGCACCGTCGCTGGTCTGGAACAGGGCTACGTCCTCTGTGAAGCCGACAAGCGATTCCTGCTTCTCTTCTCGTTCCTCAAGCGTAACCTCAAGAAGAAGATTATTGTCTTCTTCTCCAGCTGCAACTGTGTCAAGTACCACGCCGAGCTGTTGAACTACATTGATCTCCCGGTTCTCGAGCTTCACGGAAAGCAGAAGCAGCAGAAGCGCACCAACACTTTCTTCGAGTTCTGCAATGCCAAGCAGGGTACCCTGATCTGTACCGATGTTGCTGCTCGTGGTTTGGATATCCCCGCCGTCGACTGGATCATCCAGTTCGATCCTCCTGATGATCCCCGTGACTACATTCACCGTGTCGGACGTACCGCCCGTGGTGCCGATGGCAAGGGTCGCAGTCTGATGTTCCTCCAGCCCTCCGAGGTCGGCTTCCTGAAGCACCTGAAGGAGGCTCGCGTGCCCGTCGTTGAGTTCGAGTTCCCAGCCTCCAAGATTGTCAACGTGCAGTCCCAGCTGGAGAAGCTTATCGGCCAGAACTACTACCTCAACAAGGTAAGCAACCCCTCCCTCACTTTACAGAGTCTCCATACTAACACATCCACAGTCCGCCAAGGATGGTTACCGGTCATACCTCCAGGCCTACGCCTCCCACTCCCTCCGCTCCGTGTTCGACGTGAACAAGCTCGACCTGGTCAAGGTAGCCAAGGGCTTCGGCTTCTCCGCCCCACCCCGCATCGATATCCAGCTGGGCTCCAGCCTGAGCCGGGATAAGAAGCAGGAGCAACAGGGACGTCGCACTTACGGCAGTCAGCCCAAGAACGGTGCCGGTCTGAAGTTCAAGCGCAAGCACAATGATTGAGAGGATTCTGTATGAACATCAAAAGCGATCGATTGTCTCTGCATGTCTATTTTAGGGACTTGGAGTTCAGCAATGTGGATATATCTATTTGGGTTTCAAGTTTGATCTCGTAATTTTTACCGTATGGACTGTCCATTGCCCACAGGTAGTTTTAAATAGAGCTTACTCTTTGTATATATCAGTCTCCGAGCTACTGTGCCCATCCCCTACGCTAACTGTATCTAGCCCTTCGTAATGGAATCCCACAGCCAGAATTCATCTAATTCATGTGGCAACCACGTGGAAATGGCGTAGGTGAAAGGAAATCAAAGCCGAGGAATGAAGACTATGAAACCCAGCAGAATCCCAAATCCCGAAACCCTTGTTGCAGGACTTCACCTTCTACAGGGTTCTATGCACGATCGCCAACGGGAGGACAAGCTTACACTGGTTGGACCTCATTAAAGGAAGGAAAGGCAGAGTGATTGACACGCATGTAATACTGTAAGTACATGTCCATCAATGCAATCCCCCAGCATCTCTATCATCTATCTGCAAGGAAAGTCAATTTCTATCTGTACGAGTAGCCCCGATGGGAATGGCTTGCAGCCCCTTGCTAGCGCGTGTAACTGTCATCCGTCATAGCCAGCGCCATAGTAGAGTGGGGAAAACACTAGTATAGGGATCTGGGAACCATCTGGGAACCACAACTTCAAGATCATCACCAGCCTGAGCGATATACAGTAACGTTAATACCCACCTATCACTGTATATGTATGCCCAATCCAATCTCAGTAAACAACCAATAAATGGTCACAAATGGAAATGGCTGAGCACAAGTACGAGTGTGATGAGCTGGCAGGGGGCCAATCCGATCTACAGGGTGCTCTGTCGTCTGGGCGACGGGTGTTTTTTTCCTCTTTTTTCCTCTTTTTTTCTTTTTCGAACCGGTTCTTTTTCCTCGGCGGGGAACTGCAGTTGATGTGCATTCGCTCTGTGTGACGAGAGTGAGGAGGGCTTAGCGTTCTGCACAGTAAGTTGGGAGATTGTTAGTTGGTTGGGAGGGAGTTGGGTGTACTATAGTACTGAGTAGGGTGTGGAATAGAGTGAAGATGAAAATGAAGATGAAGATGAAGTTGAAGTCGAAGTTGTTGAAGACCTGAGAACCAGGGAACCATGATGATCCCGAGCGGATCCGTCCCAAGGTTCCGTTTGTTGTGAGTAGTCAGTTAGTCCCGTGCTGCCCTGGGAGGTGAGCGCCAACGCATCCAGCCTCTTTCTTTTCTCTCCGGAGGCTGGGCATTTTCAGTCTTATTACCCCAGTTGCGCGGCTCTACTTCGTCTTCATCTCCCTTGGGATTCTCTCCCTTTCTTCTCGAAATCCAATCACATCCCTCTTTAGAGGGATCGGCACGACAACTCACCCTCCTGTCTCTCTTTTCTTCTTCCACTCTCGTGGTTTGCGCTGGTACGCTCTTACACCTACTATTTACTCCCTGGGACTGCCCTCGACCCCCCAGTGTCAACAGCTCCAACAGTGACACCCCCTGACCAACAGTCCCATCTGATCCATCACCTAGAGCATGCGATTGGGTTGACGGACGCCGCTCCATCATGGGGGTCGACACCCGCAGACCGATCCTTCCCGCCCCCACAGAGTCCATCATCGATACGGAGAGCGCACTGGGCACAGATCTGGCAACTGACATTTCTCGCCGCACAGACAAAACGTCGTATTCTATCCCAGACGACGGAAGCCCCGTTACTGTCTCCACCCGGGATCGCGACGGGAAATCATACTCACACTCCCGCCACGACTCTCACACCTCGCTACTCATCGAGTACTTCGAGGGCGGCAAAGGCTCCGGCGTTACGTCTCGTCCCAGTGTGCGAGTCCGTGTCACACCCTCCTCGGCGAGAAAGTCCAAGCGAGACCGAGACCACGTTCAAATCACCGAGTCCAGTGGAAGCAGCCGCAAGCCTTCCTATACTCACCGCATATCCCTCCCATCACCGTCTTCCAAGTCCAAGCGATTGGAATCGGGCGCGACGGATGATCAGAGCCTCGATTCGAATTCAGCGGAGGAGGGCCACCATTCTTCTCGTCGCCATCCGGTAGAAATCGATTTTCCCGGCAGTGAAATGTCTACTCTGTCACATGATACTCGTTACATGCCTGTATCATCCGATATCTCATCCATGCCAGCCGACAGCATGATCAACGCTTCATCGGCAGGGCCTCGGCGGAAGCGCAGCCAAAGTCTGGAGCGCGGGTCGCCTCGCGAGGACAAGGATTTGCTGAAGACACCTCGCCGACAGAGAAGTCGCAGCCTAAGCACGGAGCGAATTGCGCACCGTGTGGCCGAGAAGCTTACTGAACCGCCTAAGGAATCGTCGGGCAGAAATCGAAGCAAGTCTGGCAAAGATTACCTCGAGGCCGAGCCCAAGTCCTCTCGTCGTCGGAAACACAAGTACGCCGAAGATGACTATATCAGTCCTGAATCTAGTCTCCTTAGTACCTCTGCGGTTTCTTCAAACCGCAAGTCTGATCAGTACTCAATTCGTTCCGGCGCATCCAAATCTTCGATCAACAACCCTAAGCTATTAGAGACTGTCGAGGATGCCATCCGGCGATTAATCCTCCCAGAGCTCAAAGAGCTTAAGAAGGACCAAAAGGTTATGACCAACACAGGCAAATTTGAGCGAGACATGGCACGAGACATGGCATCTTATTCATCCGGTACAAGTTCCCGGGATGAGCTTCGTCGGAGTCTGTCCAAGCACGCCAGTGCACCTGATATCATAAAGCCCAAGGTTGTCCTGAACAAGGACAGCAAAGACGAAGGTATCGTTCTTTCTGGCGGGTCCGTTCCGCAAAATAGAGAACGCAAATCAAGCAAAAGCAGCGAGACCTCCGAGGCAGCTGTGCGCTGGGGCAACCGACCTGACTACTCTGAACAAGACAAGATCCGAAGACAGAGGAGCAAGGGCCTGCGCGATGCCCATGCTGCTGCACGAGTGGGTTCCGCTCTCACCGCCGCTTCCTTGAAGCACCATGATTCCAATTCCAGTCTCGGCAAATCGGAGCATCGCCGCCGCAAGAGTGGCTCTCGGAAGAGTACTGAGAGTATGAAGTACAACGAAACCGAACTTCTTTTCCAAAAGCACAACGTTGCGCCTATGCCGATGCGCAGCGAGATCGACTCTGAGTTGACTAGAAACTCGTTGCTTTCTGAGCGCACAGCAAGTCCCCCTCCTCAGAAAAAGAGCTCCCAGGCGGAGCTTTCTCGTGGATCGCCCAGACAGGCTGCGTCTCCCGCCTCTCGCACTCCTACCCGCAACTCTGTTGACTCACTCGGCATGCGACACGCCAACAAGTCGCAGCATAATATTTCCCTGCAAAGTACCTCGGACCGTGATCTAAGGGGCAAGAGCCAATCTCCTGGAACTGACACTGGTGACTGGGCTATCGCTGCCGCTGCTAATCTTCTTGACGCCGCTCACCCTGGTCAAGGCAGATACTACGACGAAACCCACAGGCGTGGCCTGAGCCCTATCCAAAGTGTTGCAAGCGATAATACCGAGACTCGCCATGCCCAGTACCCAACCCACGAGCACCATGTCGAAGGCACGCGCGAGATGGAGCCTCGACTTTCAATTGACTCCCTTTCATCCGCCCCCAGCACCAACCTCGCCAGATCTACCCGCCAAGGCACCACTCACAGCCACAGCCAGAGTGCGCTTTCCCAGCAGCTTAGCCAGGATTCACCCGGGTTCGGCTACGAACAATCGCGCCAGCCCGAAGGGGATGACGGTTTCTATGGCTACGATGAGGAGAGCAGAATGACTGTCGACGATGAAAACAGCGATGTTGATTTCATGGACAAGGTCAAGGAAGGCCAGCATGTGGGAGCTGGTGCTGCTGCCAACCCTCAATTCCACCACCCTATGGGTGTTGAATCTGCAGTCGCTTCCTTGATGGATCCTTCTGTCCTTGAATCCCAAATAGAATCCCAGCTCTCTTCCAGTAACCGCTCGCAAACTGATCTGGGCCAGCGATCTGGAAGCCGCAGTCCTGAGAAGCAGGCGGGTGAAGCTTACCGTGGAAGTCCCCTTAAGCAGCGACAGGATGCATCTACTGCTGACGAAACCTCGTTCCCCCGACGCATGGGTGCCACTTCGCCTCCTCAGAGCGTCACTCAGTCCTTCGACGACATGGATGACTCGGCTTTGATGGGCGCCAATGTTCCACGTGGAGTGGATAGTCCCATGGTCGACGCAGAAAGCCAAGAATCTGAGTCCGAGATCAACACCAACCCATCGATCATCCAGGGCCCTGCTGGCGGTGTTGCTCAGGGAGACCGCTGGGCATACAACTCCCGGTCTCCTCCCGTTGATCAATATTATGATAGCGGTGCTGGACCTCAGGGTCTCAGTGATGAGCAGCAGCGCGGGCTTGATGCGGAATACTATCAGACTGCTAAGAACATCTTTGGCGGTGACGATTACTATAACCACTCCGTTGACAACCAAGCTCAGCAGCTGTTCGGCACACCTCCTGGAGCCAAGGATGAGGGTTATGTTTCCGCTGCCAACCCCATGTCTCCCAGCATCGGAACGCCGAAGCAAGGTAGCCGAGGTCTCGCAGGCCCAGATGCCGCAGGTGTTGGTGCTTTCGACGGTCCTACCCCAGAAGATCCTTTCGGACCTGGTCACCAGCGTCACTTCAGTGGCTACTCTCACGGTGTCGGTTCGCCGCTCTACGACAGTGCTACCGGTCGGGGCATCGAGAGGATTCAGTCCCAGGATATCGTGGCTCTCATGGACCACCTGACTGTTCGGGACGCCCAGCGAAACGCCCGAGACACCGAAATTTTGGTTACCCTGGTTCGGAGTGCGGCAGAGATGCGCACCTCTTTCGAGCAGATGAAGAAGTTCATTGCTGAGCAAGATGATCTCATCATGGACACCAGTGACAGGGCACATGAGCGCACTCATAAGGCGCTTGGTGGGCCCCGGCCTTTGCCTCCGAGTACGTCTCGCAACCGCCAATTGAACACGTTCGAGGAGGACGACAAGCGGAAGAACATCTTCAAGCGTGCTCTCAAGGGCTTAAGCTTGAAGTCAGGCAACGATCTGTCCAAGATTGAGGGCATGCTCGAGCAGCTTCTTGAGGAGGTTGAATTTCTGCGCTCTGGTCAAGACGGCGTGAGCCCACGCCATGTCACTCGACCGGCAAGCATGGATTCTGGCCATGAGCCCGGTCAAAACGGTGCCCCTATCGAAAACAGCCGCTCTGCGTACTTGTCCAGTCCCCACCAGCGCAGAAACTCGGATCAGCGAGTCAGCACCGTTCACGAAGTGGACGAAGAAGATCTTGAGCTCGACGAGGGTGATGATTTCATGACTGGACATCTCCCTGTGCGTGAGCCACCTCATCACGAGCGAGCTGGCTCCTTGCCTCTCTCCACGCCTCCTCGCAAGCCAGTGGCTACAGGTGCCCGAAGCACCGAAACAACCCCCAAGGCCGACAAGAACGACAAGGCTCGCAAGCACAAGTCCAGTAGCTCCTCCATCTTTCCCAAGATCTCTCGCTGGTCCAGGTCCACCGCTACCTCCATGGGCGACAACATCCGCAACAGCATCCAGCCCTCCCGCAAAGAGCGTCCAACCTCAGACCTCTCCCGCTCCGGGTCCGATCTCGCTGAGAACGCCTACAAGGGTGACTACTACGATCCCCAAGGCGACGACAGAATCCGCTCCACCTACACCCTAGATGACCCCCAGCAGGAGAACCGTCCCCCCTCGCCTCTGGTGCCATCCCAGGTCTCCGAAGCCCCCAAATACCGAGGCCACCGCGGCAGTCTCGAGCTGCAGCACCCCCAACCTCGCCAGGGTCCCACGGGCCGCTACCAGTCCCGCCTCGAAACCGAGGCCCAAACCTACGGAGGCCCAGTCTCCCCAACAGGCTCGGACCAGTGGGAATCAAACCCCAGCCTGTCCGCAGTAAACCCCAACCAACAGCGCTTCAGCGGTGCCAGCCGTTTATCCCCCATCTCCGACGCAGGCTACTCGGAGACCAGCTCCCGCGCAGACCGAACTCCCGGCCCGCCCCGTCCCCCCAAGGTCAAGGACGAGGGTCCTCTTGTCCCAGAGCGTCCTCAGAAGGTGCCAGAAGATGAGGAGCCAGCTTACGGTGCTGACCGTGTTGTTTCAAAGGTATGTACAGCACCAATTCCCAATATGAATGAACTGATACTAATTTATTTGATAGAGCTCCGCAATCCGCTCCCCTCCCACACGCAAACCAACTGGCCCGCGCCCCCTCACCTCCGGCGGCGCATACAGCCCTGGTAAAGTCAATCGAACTCGCTACAGAGGCAGTCCCATGCAAGTCGACTACGATGATGAATATTGATAGACCAATCTGCGTTGATACCCCCGAGGTCAGGTTCAGGTTTAGGGTTTAGGCTTCTGTTGGATTGTTTTTCCTTTCCTTGCTGGGTTTTTTCTAGCGTGCTTTTCTTCTTTCTCCATTTTGCGTGTCTTCTCTTCTTGTTCTCCATTCCCCCATATTCGGATATTCCGATTCCCTTACGAACGTCATGACTTGAATCAATACTGTCGATTTGATATCCCCTTCTTCATTACATGTCCGTCCCCGCCCCCACAACTTCTATTATTACTCTATCTATGAGAAAATATGTGTTTAAATGTTTAACATATCTTTTTTTTCTCCTATTTCTCTCTCTCTCTCTCTCTCTCTCTCTCTCTCTCTTCGTTGTTTATGTTTCGTGTTCTTGGCCGTGGAAAATTGGGTTGGAGGATTATAACTTTTTGGTTCATTTGCCAGGGTATATTGGTCGTCTAGCTCTCCTTTGCATTTATACTGGGATTATACTGGGATTATATTGCGCTTGGTTCTTCTATTGTAGTGTTTCATAACGATTGTGGTGTAGATAGGTAGCCTTGGGATAGCATAATTCGTCTCTTATTTCTTGCCTGCTCCTAATCTTTCTTCTTTTGATGTAGAGATAACTTATAAATGTAAAACTATCCTCGTAGGCCGCGTATCAACCTTGGAAGCCTTGAGTTGCTTACTGGGCAATCTGATCGCTTACCTCGTTGCTCTCCATTGGTCAACTGCTTCTATTCTCGTCTCACTTGCTAACTTTTCTGGTTTGTGGCCTATAAATCAGCCGTACTGCCTACTACTGTTCCTAGGAGCTTAGGTCTAGAGATCATATATTCCTCATTGGTGACTCATGGCTTACGGTGATAGAAGCTAACACTCATTCGAGCCCTTTCTCAGAACCATTATAATCCAGTTGTATAGTATTCCAGAAAGCCTTTGGCTATACGTTATCTAGGAAACCCTATATAAGGTTAAGGTCAAGGATACCTACTATACTCTGTGTCGGGTGAATGCTGTCCATTATTTGCATAAATCGGTTGTTGTTTATCCTATTCCCTGATTAGTATTGTCATACCCTTCGTCGAGCATAGGGCTTTTCTGGCCAACCAAATTGATAGAGTCAAGTGTGCTCTACCAGGTTGGATCCATGAAGATATATTTTCGCCAAATACAGATAGCTTTACTACTATATTATCGCACGCACTAGTAATTTACTGTTAAAGTCGTTGTTAGGTCCCCTCACTGAAATTGCTACTAAAATAATGTAGAAAAGACATGAAATAGAAGAAATATCTATAGATTCACCTGCCCTGAATTTCGGCACAGCTGTGCCCAAGCTCACATTGGTTTCTTGAATTTTTGGGGCCAAGCATGACTCATCAATTCAGGTTGTGTAGTGTAATGGTCATCACTCCAGATTCTGATTCTGGCAATCCCGGTTCGATCCCGGGCACGACCTTTCTTTTTGCATTTTCTTCTTATATACTTCGTATATTGCCTTTATAATATTTTTTTTGTAGGGCATTATTAATGACCCGACAAAACACACCCTAGCCATATAATTTTACGGAATTGATACTACCACCCCCTTTTGGATGCTACCACGCCCCTGCCTGGATTCTCATGCCAGTGTTGACCGCCTTCCTCACCGCTTTCATCCTCGGACTTTCATTCTTAGCTACCACTTCCCTAGGTGTATATCAACACCTTAGGTACCTGCAATTAGTATGTATACGCCTAGCAAAAATAAGTCACTCCTGTAATATAGTAGTACTCTATTAGACTGCCAAAATAATTGTTGTTTACACCTTCAAATCTCGCATTTCATTCTCTTTTACAATACTATCTTAGGAAGGTGGCCGTGGCCGTGGACGCGGCCGAGGACGTGGAAGAGGATGTGGAGGGACACAACAGGCATCGCAGGGAGATAACAGGGTGGGAATAGCTTCATCTACGGCCCAGGAAGCTCATACTGCATCGCCGGCGAGCGTTCCTCCTACATCTCAGGGTCGGGAATAGCTTCTGGGCATCTTAGGGCGAGGATTCTTGGTCTAATCGCCTTATGAAGCGTCGGGGAGCTCCATAATTGGCTGATCCAATGTAAACTACTCAATTTCTTCACTATTCTCATGCCATTCCAAGAATTTTAACGAAAAATGGATGCTGGCCGCTGCATGGGCCAATTCCTCCATTTCTGCAGAGTTCTTGAAAATAGCATCTATTTCCTATTTGGGACTAGTGCGGTGTAGTTAGCATAGTGGGTGGTAGAGTACCAAAGGGACTTACATTCATTTAATTAGGGGGCTGCATAGTAAATGTAAGTACCTCAAGTTTGTGTTGGAAACATGGTCGGTGGTGGCAGAAATATGTCCGGCAGAAAAAGTCTCGGGCTGAGAATCCAGGCAGGGGGGTGGTAGTAACAATCCCCTAATTTTAACCTATAAGATCAGTAGTATATGCCAATTGGTCGGTTTGTATTATAGGAGCCATTGTTCCGTATTGTTAGTATATCCGGAATAACTAAAATCCGCATCGGCGGTAACATAAGACCGTAGCCGAGGGCTGAACTAGTGAAAGTGGAGACTGTGGACTTCCAGCTCAACATATCCTTCGAACAAGACAAAAAATAGCAAATCAAAGACGCAAAAAGAGAAGGTCGTGCCCGGGATCGAACCGGGATTGCCAGAATCAGAATCTGGAGTGATGACCATTACACTACACAACCTATTGATGTTGAGAGCCGGATCTGTAGTATTCATGATTCGCAGTAGAAGAATTGTGGCATCTCTATGGAGTATAGGCCAGTAAAGCACCATCATTAATCTTCTGATCATGGATCAATTGTGAATGTGTAGCAGGAACTCCCAGATGGGATACGAATAAGGCCAAGCGAATGGGTTTGATCTTTCCTCAATTGTATTCGGAATTTCCGTGCAGTAGAATGCGTTAGCAGCTGGGGATATAGCCCTAATTAGAACCCGAAGCTTCGATAAAAGCACTTGTTTCCCATGTTCGCCCCTTTCTCTATCCTTTCAAGTAGATCTCAATACCTTTTGAAGGGACCCTAAATAAGAAGTCAAGGCTTTGAGTTAAGAACTTATACTGCCTATGCCCTAAACCCTCTACAACCCTGGTTTGCTGCAGAGCGATGTGCAGCACTAGAACAATGACCTCGGGGATGGTAAGAGCGCAGAGAATACCACAATGAATAATCCGCATACGCAAACTTTTACAAGCTTAGTCCACCATTTCGGCCAGCAAAAGCGATCCGGGAGCAAAGAGACGCCTGGAAAAGCCAAGCCTATGCGGGCTCAAAGCCGCCTTCCCAGGGACAGCATTTATCTCTTCGGTTAAGGGAACGCTTGGTCTCTCTCGAAAGGACCGCAAGGAGTTGCAGGACACGAGGCTCCCGGTGATCGAACACACTTTGAAGGCACCTGATACAGTAGCTGGTGATAATATTGCAAATGACAAGGCTCTGGTAAGACAACCCCCTTGAACATTGAATGTGCTGCTAGTGCTTGGTTTAACGTCGCGTAGGAAGAAGCTCGTCTTCAAAATGTCGTCCAGTTTTGGGAAGAGCTGCATGACCTAGCTGTTATGTTTATACCTGATGCATCTTTCAACTTTGCAGACAGGGTCGAATGTCAGTAGCTGATCACAACCATCGAAGCGTCCGAGGGAGAGCTTTACCCCTGGGAGGAGCTTCCAGGCAGCTTAGCTGGGTTGATTCAGAGGCAAGACGGACTCCGAATCGATCAGCACCCGATAATTTCACGCAAAGGGGCCGAGACTGCTTATCGCTTTCTTCATTGTAAAGGCAGCCCAGAGAGTTTCAGCATCGTTAGGCTTGCCTTCTCTATTCTGATTGCATACGCTTGGAACATCCGTCGCACACCGAGAGGGACCGTCACTGACTTGATGGTTCTCAGAGCACCACCAAACTGCATTGTTCCTCGGGCATGCTCTGCCTGTCAAGGAAGAGTATTAGATGACCCTTTTGCGTATTGCCAAGAACAACCTGGATTACTATGTCGTCAAAAGTTCCCAGACAGGCTGCGGGCTCATTGGCTGCAAACGAGGTCGTGTCCTTCTCCATCCTTTGAAGAGATGTCAAAATTACGTGCGCGCACTGCAGGAAAAATTGGAAAATATCCCAAATATCCCCAATCCCCGTCTCCGTGGGGGTGCTCAATGGGAGAAATATTTTCTTCGCCATGGCCAAGATGAGCTTGGAGAGATCCCTCGGAAAGTTGAGCTCAAATGCCCACATAAAGGGTGCAAAGGCACTCTGGAGGACGATGCTCCCTGATGGACAATTCATCCAGTTCCGACAGTTGTGCTTCGTCAATTTACATGTCCAGATTGTCGACGCAAGGGTGACTGGAAACCCGTGAATACTGCGACCAAGTATATTACCAGTGAAAGCCTTAGTCGCACCTGGAGCCGGTTCAAGAAGAAAGGATGCGACCTAACACAATATCCGCGACGGGCAGATGTGTACTTTGCCCAGGGCCACGTAACTATTCGAATTGCGCGGCTCAAGGAGGCCAAGAGGCTCACAGGTGAGAACACTGCAGACTAGACAGCCCAAAATATATATATATATATATATGCTTTCAAGTATCCCTCCCCACCCTTATCCTTGTCTTGCGGTTCTCATCTTGGCCAACGAGTTAGCCAATAAGAAAGAGTTGAGTGGGCTAAGAATCTAGCACTGGCCAAGCTATTCGCTCAGCCGTATGCCTATTTAGCCTTAGAATTAATTCCCCAGGTTATAATTATGATTATGGTTTTTCAAAAAAGAAAATTTCTTAAGAGATACTGCATGCAAAGTGAAGGGAGACTTGGAAAAAAATACAAAAAGAGAAGAGGTCGTGCCCGGGATCGAACCGGGATTGCCAGAATCAGAATCTGGAGTGATGACCATTACACTACACAACCTCAGTTGTTGAGAGAGTTTCAGGGTTAATGTTATAAGAGTCAGAGCAAAGCCTACCAAT